AGTATTCTTTTTGGTGTTTGTAGTCACATTGCAAACTACTTCAAATATATTTATTTGAATAGGTGATGTCCAAATAACCTTGGCTCTTAGATCAGCCCAGCCTTGAATAGATACCAGGTGGTTTCAAGTAAAGGCGGCTTGTATAATCTGACCACATCACCCACCGAGCGCCGATTGGTCTGTTATAAAATATAGGTCTAGCCCTATATGTCCAATAATGCTAAAGGCGTAGAAAGTGTCCTTTCAATAATATTCTCACTTGGTGAGGTCCAGCTCCTCTGCTTTGTATTTCAGTTTTTATAATTTTTTTTTTCAGATTCTTGAGGCGATGAACAAACTAGTCTTGCATGTATTGCCACAGCACTCATTATTTATTCCTAGTACTTTATCAGAACATCCGATGTAGTAAAATAAACAAGCTAAGTATTGGGATGACACCCCCGCCCCCGAAGGGCACAGTTTCTAATACAGCAGAAACAACCCCAGCAATTTTTAGCTGTTGTGATCTTTTTAGGCAGATTATACGTTCAATGGTTTTCTTTGCCCTGAACGGTCAGCTCTCGGTATCACTGCTGAAACCAGCGCAAGACAAATTGTTCACGACTGGAATCGAACCCGTCACCGCGGCATTACGAAGCGCGATCGCAAAGCTTTAGGCACAGTCGCTTAAGCCACATACAATATGTCAGTATCAACATATTCGTCCCAGTCCTATGCTACAAATGCCAGACATCGCCACTCACAACATACCCCCAAAAAAATTTAATCTTTAGACATACACATTAGGACTTAGAGTTTATGCAAACAAATGAATCGGTTCTCTAGATTATAATCACCTTTTTTTCAGGTATGAGAAAGTTCTTCGCCTCTACTTCAGTCATCCAGCTCTTCATGGAGTCATATTCTGGGGTTTCTGGGATCACGAAACAGATCCACTTAAAGCAATGGTTCATGGATATGGATATACCGTAAGCATTCGTCATATAATCACATCATGTCTTTTTTCCACCTATGATCTCTCTTCCGGTGACTCAAAAAGCCGCTTTGTTTATGAAAGTTCAACTAAAAAAAAAAAAAAATTCAAGAAACCACGTTCAACTTTATGAAAAACTGCCTTTGCTGCCTGACTGACTGACTGACTTTCTACCCCACCAGGACATCACACAAGAGATAAACACCCAATGACACAATGTGCCACCTTGCTGTGGGTGAGGATCACCGTGGAGAGGTCCCAGAAACCGCGTTCAGCCTTTAGGCCATATTTATGGTCAGGCTATATTGCGGCCCCTGGCAAAAGCCAGAGTAGTGCTTCAAATGACGAAAAATTTCATCCTAAAAAGGACGGGAAAGTGAAATATATCCTTTGCTGCCTGTACTTTCTACTTCTTATACCGGTGCAGAACGTGTGTTCGGGGGGGGGGGGGGGAAATGGGGGGGGGGGGGTAGAGAGTGTGATGATTTAGGACTTTTTACCTGCAGGTCTGGAAGTTTCAAATCCCCGTCAAAGCCAACTTTTGTAAGCTTTTATTATTCTCGCTTTTGTTTGTTCAGCTGGTACTGTTTTCGTCTTCAATATTTTTACATTAACCTGAGCTACGAAAGTCGAGCTGTCTAATATAGTCTGGACGTAAATAACAGCAGTAAAACCGACAGGAGGCCATAAAACACAATTTCAGTATAACAGTATAAAACTAAACCACAACTAATATCAGTTTAGCAATTTGATACCATACATATCAATTACTTTAGAAAGCAGATTACGGAAATTACATGGATAATTTACAGATTCGTGATTGCATTACGTTTGTCCTCTGCTTCTTATTTCTTCTTCATTTTTTTTTCCTGACCCACCCCTTCTTTGTTGTTGTTGTTGTCCTTCTTCTTCTTCTTTTTCTTCTTCATCCTTCTCCTCTTCTCCTGGTTCCTCCTTCACCTTCTTCCTATCCCTCTGCTCTTCTCCTCTTCTTTCCTCTCATACAGCCTCGCTATCCCCTTTTCAACATGTTGAAATTCCATCTTAGATTTGTCTCATTAACATATTTGGCAATCATTGAAAGACTAAATAATTTGTATTCGTAATTTTTAAATGGTCCTGTGTTCTTGCTTTGTAAAAATAAAGATAAGATAGACTACTGACATTAAACTGATACACTCTCTATGGACACAATAGCTGGATGAAGCTGGCAAGCGCTTTCTCCGTCTGACCAAGAAAGACTGGAGCACCCACGTTAACAAATCTCTGGCAGACGGAACATCTTTTAATGTGGAGGGTTTCCAAGGCGACTACAACGTGACGGTGTACTATCGAGGGAAACCCATACAGATTAGTTCCTTCTCTCTTGGCAAGAGTAACAAGAATGTCAATATTAACATAAATGGAGACGGAAGTAAGTATATTTGATAAAAATATCAAACATATGCTTTTCTCGTATACTGTAGCTCTGACACAAGCAGTTATGGCTCACTGGGTTTTTTCCAAAGCAACATTAGAGGAGGATTATATGGCCCTGGTCCTTCGGGTGGTGTTTAAGAGAACAGAACGTCTAGCCTTCTGGGACACACGTAGAAAGTTAGAAGTCATAAGTTTTAATAATTCATTGGCAGTTGGAAATCGAGAAGACACACCAATGTGATGCTACTCAGGTAAAAATATCAGAGAAGCGCTCACACATATATATATCATACATGATAGGATCTATACTTCTAGTAACACACAATAGAATCCTTTTTGATGCTACAGATGAGTGCTTTGTGCTAGGATTCTCTTTGTGTGATATTTGGAAGTTTGCGAGAGCTTTTATAAGAATCAGTGTATGCAGTTTAAGTGTTTCTTTTCTCAAATAAATCAAACTCAACGTGTATACTGTTGGATCTGCTAAGACTGCACCTGTGTCAATGTTTGTTTTTTCACAACAAGCAGTGACGAACATTCTGTGTGATTTTCGTTGACACGGGAACGGAGCAACAATGGGGTGACCCGTTTGCTATGAAGTTGGAACTGCTATTACCCGATTACCTGATATCTTTGAAACAAAAAAGATACCTTGGTCTACGTTCGATACTAACCTTAAGCAACATTATTTGTATGGTCTAGTGCAGTTTCTGTATTGACATAGCTACACAAAAAATAGCAGAGAATTCTTGTAATAGTTGGGAATTGTCTTGGAAATCTTGTGTAGCTTCCGGACCCCCTTATAGAATAGCACTACTACCCCCTACCCCGGGGAGGGGGGGGGGGGGGGGGGGGTCAACAAGCGTGTCGTAAAAGGCTAATAATTACTGATGTTTTCTTCGAAGTTGGAGTGCGTTTGTCTAAAAGCTAGGTACTAATAGTCTGTATAGAAGTAAGACAAATCTGTAAAACAGACGTGTACGCAAAACGCAAGTTCTGGAACAAGATGAAAGTCCAGAAGTAGATAAACAACCAGATCTTTCTGCCTGAACGCTACTAAGAAGATGACGTATGGGAAGGATATGAATGTTAACTGCCCATTCCCTTCATTGCAGATGGAAAAAAGTTTTCTCTACAAGATCCCTACGCCAATAACTTCTAAGAAAGTTAACCCTTATACTGGGAGTTTACAAAGTAAGCGATATTTTTTCCAGGTGAAATTAAGTTACCTCCTGTGGTGGACCCATTCGAGTACGTGGACATCATACACGAAACAACGACTCAGAACATGTACGTAGTCGGACAAGCGGCATCAACATCCACCTCGGCAAAACTGTCATGTGTCACCCGGAAGTCTGCAGAGTCAGATGTCGGGGACGACATGAACGCTGATGTCGCGTGCAACAGTGATGAGGTTCTGACGGGGTGCTCCAGCTACCTGAAGGTAAATTGGGGAGTGTGAGTGCTATTTATCAGTTTGCAGTAAACATGAATTTAGTATCGACACACAGTGAACCATTCAGTCTCTCTATGAGTGTTCGGATATCCTGCACAGTAAATGCAACAACTTATAGCGGGTTGCGACACCAGTTCTGTTTTGGTGTCTTTTCTTCTTTGGTTTTCTACACAGTGCTTTTGCTGGCTGAACCCCTTTTAACATGCTGGAGTTAACAACCCACATTATAGCATTAGGGATATTCACATGAGCGCTTTGTCCCCATCTTCAGCGGCCAATGTTGAGTTAAAGCTCCCATGGTAATAGTTGTAGTTTGTTGTGTTCGCCTTGCCTTTCCCCTGAGTGTTCAGTGTCAACCAGATCCCTTGGCCATTCCTAGCTGTACCAGTCTCTTCGCACTGTGATGATATATTTGTGTAACACAAAGTATGCATTATACTTAAAAAAAAAAAAAAACAATCGTTAGAAAACGTTATAGGTCAGTTTTACACAATACAGAAAACAAGCACAGGACGTTGCTGCATCATATCTCATTAACAAACAAATAGAGGGAAAAAAACAACAAACACAACACAAAGCGATCTGTGCACTGTTTATTTTTCAAACACTTGGTGTCTGGTCATTCCCATCATTCTAATCCGATATGTTAACTATGTTCATATTCAAATGTTCATGTTTTATTGTTTGCTTTTAGAACAACGACTGGCGTCGAGATGGTGAGCAGATTGTTGTAACCAATGGAACAGTTGTGTGCAGGGCAATTGACGGTTTTTGGTCTACAGTTGGTAAGATTGTCCAATTATTGTTTTCAATAAGCCTTTTTTTTTTTTAAATAATGTAACAATTTTTTTAAAAACATTTATGAACATCATTACCACCACTACCATGATCACAATCATCATCAACATCACTATCATCATTGTTCATGTGAGTAAATGTGGGTGGTTATGTCTTGACATAATCCACATTCACTGAATGAGGTATTTTGTCCCGTGGCGCCATTTGACCAATTAGACATAATTAGGGTACAAAAAATATGCTCTGTTAATGACAACGGTTTCATTGGCCGTGCGTCGATTTATACCATGTTTACTTCCTGTTAATGTATTTCCCACGCCATAATATTATTATCTCCTTACAAGACTCATTCTCAGCGACGCTGTCCTAAAGAAAACTGATGGACGGAGGACACTTAACCACTTTATAATTGCTTTGTACTGAAGCTTTGTTCAAGTGCAAAACAATAATTTTATCTAGGAGGGGAGAATGATACTGTTAGTGCACCTTAGCCCCAAGTTTCCAGCTTCTGTGGTACGGTATTTGATCACCAAAAAAAAAAAAAAAAAAAACTGTTCCTACTTGTAGCGTCTTACAATAAGATTTTAAAATTTCATCCTAGATTGTCATCACAGATTTCTTGAGATGAGTAACATGATAGTTTCATCCAGTTATTGTCGCATCTAACACATTCTCATCTTTCAGTAAACTTTCAAGCTGCAATCAGGTGAGCTCTACTCTGTGTTACTAAAAAGCTAAAGAAATCCCTAAAGCGTCAACGTATCCCAAGGAATATTCTGTTTTCAGAGCTTGTTTGCCATATCTTGTTGTGTGTTCCATTTTCTATCGAGTGTTTGCGCAGTTGGAGTTACCCGCAAAAACAATTTTCAGATCGTCTTGCATGGATAGAAGATTTATTAATCACATAATATTCTGTAGCTGGTGAGTACATACACGTACATACACACACACTTATATACATAACTGAGTAACTGAGTTTGTGTGTATGTGTAGTTAGGACGTTTTCCTGATTTGCTGACGGTCTGCTTGCTTGTACAGGTACTCAAGCGATTGCTCGCTGCTGCAGTCTCCAAGGGTTGTCCTGCACGTATAAGACTGCTGGGCCGTCAGGTACAGGCGTTGATGACCAGGTCCTGGTTCCCTGCGCAGACACAGAATATCCTTTAGGTGAGTTAGTGAAACAAAACTGAAGGAATGAATAAACGAATAAATGAATGAGTGGAGGAAAGAATCAATAATTGGCATCACCGCACTCCGCACTGAAGGAATGAATAAACGAATAAATGAATGAGTGGAGGAAAGAATCAATAATTGGCATCACCGCACTCCGAAAATTCCCACGCGTGCTCCGGCACTGTCTTCAATAACCAACGAAGAGCTGATATGCTCAGAGTACCAGCTGCAACCTGATTAAAAGTCTGTCTCTGATTCCCTTACAATGTTAAGTATCCCCCAGAACCTCTACTTAACACACACCCCCCCCCCCGCCCCCGTTGAATTAGTCTCTCAGTGTATGGATTCCCGATCTGTTCTTTTGCACTGTCCATTTGATCCCATAGAGCATTTACACCATCCGCTTTATCATATAGTAGCTCACCGCCCAGAGGAGCATCAGCAGACAATCTGTGTTAGTTACCTCGCAACCTACATTTTCTGGACGATCAGAGCTGTGTGTGTTACTAACAAGATAACACGTGGTGAAGAATGGTTTACAGGTGCCGCCAGGAAACCAGGCATGCATAGAGTGATAGTTGCCTTGGTCCAAGGGTGCCGGGAATGAAGAGCTGGTGAAACAGTCAGCGGTACAAGTGCCAGTAAGTAAAAAATCACGCCTAGGTGACATCATAATAGATACAATGGATCTGTAGTGAGAGGTAAGAAGAGTGGGTGGGGTTTGGTTGCAAAGGCGAATGGACATGGCTTGAAAACAGAGAGCCTCGCGTACAAGGTCAATACATCCAGCGTGAGTTTTTGAAAATTATAAATGTAATATGCAAGCAGAAATACGTAAATGTTGCTTGACTGGAGCATGAAGAATATACCACATGTGCCACTTGAGGGTGTCCTATTGTTTGGCTGGCTGAAGAATATTGGTATTCAGGTAATCACAGTTCCAACGTCACAGTATAGTTTTCCTGTTCCTGTGCCAGCGAAAATCATTAGGATGTCCAACACTGTCTCTTGTAAAACAATTCAATGGACGCAAACTGCAGACTCAGCAAAGCCAGTAGCATACACACGCTTCAAATCTACACGGCAGCAGTCGAAATGCCAACGCAAACAGTCCGATAATAGAAATATAGTTCACCATCCCAAAAAAAACAGCAGTTACAACAAATCAGAAATTGCACAAGCAGTTAATAGCATATGGCATCGCTAGTTCTGTAGAAAGAGACCGCTAGCCATCACAACAAAGATCACGTTAGGCACAGCTCAAAAGCATTCCAAATGAAAATCCTCAGCTTACAGAGTCTCGGCATGCATTCAGCTCAGTATCCTTTCGTCTAAATCACCGAGGTAAATGCAACGTCTGTGAAATGTCGGAAGCAAAATTTGCAAACACTAAAACATGAAGCCTGCCAATCTGCTATATTGATCGCAACTTAAAATAAAGTATACTCATTGTCGTACACCTCTCTGGTTTAGAGATGCAAATGTTTCAAGGATCGCGATCCTCGACATACTAGGGTTTGATTTCCACGGTTGAAGGTATAAATGTATGTACAATGTGTGTAATATCAGTGTGTGAAACAGCGTGTACAGCTGAGGACATTTGCTTGCGATAAACGTGGCATCAATCGGTATGGCCGGTGTGCGATGATGTGGATTCCTAAATCAGTAATCAATAGTCAGGAATTCATCTTCGCTCCTATATTATTGTTCTTTTTTTAAATTACTGAATGGTAATTCAGTTTTAATTTTAATTTAAGTCTTAATTCAGCACTTTCAAATACTCAAGTGTTTAATGTCTTGTCTTAAAAAAAAAAGACTTATTTTCCCTCTCCAAATTCGAGTTGTTTACTAAGACACTGCCACTTGTCTTTGTTAATAAATGCTCGTGTTTTTGATCGGTCTTATGGGGGGGGGGGGGGGGGGGGGGGGGGGGGAGGGGGGGGTAGGGGGGGGGGGTGGGGGGGGGGGGGGGGGGGGGGGGTGTTATGTATAAAAGCATATGCCATTATGACCTCTTTAAAAAAAAATATTGTCATTACTATATGAGCATTGTAGGTAAAGATCCCTTTTCCCCGCCTTTAGGCGTATAGGGCATATAGGACTAGACCTATATTTTTATAGACCAATCGGCACAAGATGGGTGAGGTAGTCAGGATCACGCTGGCCACCTTTACTACCCGGGACATCACCCGGTACCCACTCAAGGCTGGGTCTACCTGGGAGCCACACTCTTGTTTTAAAAAAAATCGAATGTGTATTTTAGTTATCACTAAATTAATCATCATCTTATACTGTTTTTGTGACCGAATCTTAAGCTGCAATGTTACATTTACTATTTTTCCTATATCTTCCACAATGCAAAGATGTCCAACATCTTTCTCTCTTAGTCTTTTCTTGTTTCCATATTCCTCCAGTCTTCTTGTTTTCCCATTTAACTCTTCTGAAAACGCACATGAGGGGTTAAGGCATACTAAAATAATTCAAACTTTGTAACTGTCGCAATTTTAGGCTGCGCCACCTGGACCTACCAGTCTGAATCCGATGGAACCTTAATTGCAAATAACACCTGCATCTCTCAGAATGATGATCCTGCGGCTGGTGAGTCATTTATGTAGTCGTTTTGTTTTAATTTATTTTTCCAGAACAGAAAGTCTACCCACAGTTTAGCCGTAGGTGGTACACTTACCTGTCAACCAGGTGTCCATGTTCAACTTGGGGGTGGGCAGGTTTTCCAGTGACCTGCATTCTTTGGTCGATCCAGCAAAAGATAGATTCCAGAATATTTCCTTTGAAGTAAAGTTAACCTGCATGATTTTAATAATATCATACATCGTGTGCCATTCGGCCTAAAAACACCTATCACCCGTTCAGGGGCCATTGGAATAACGGTTCGATTCGAGAGCAGAAAAATTCTGATTACATTGTTCTCAGGTTTTCTCACCCTGTGACTTATCCAACGCCAGCGTCTTTTCTTTACCTGTTGATTCGATAGACCTTGTTTAGTTCTTTCCCAAAACCTCATTGTTTGTGATTTATTCATACCCTTTAATTCCCCTTTTTTATTGCGATGGCACCAGGTTAAGGAATGTTTGTAGTGTATCAGTTGATACTTTAATTCCATTTCGATGTACAATGTGATAAAACAACTGGACTTTGCAAGTAAACGAGGGCATACGATCACTAAAACAACCGGGCGAGGCTGCAGAGAGGGCATCGAGCTGGCTTTGGACATACCGGAGCGTCGTGGGGGACGGGCATCGGTTAGCTGGTTCGAGTGTCTAGTGGAAAAGACAGTCTTATCCCTAAAAGTCCATCGTGTCTAAATTGTCTGACGGTGTCCCTCTGCCATTTTGCCAAAAAGTCCAACATGTGTCCAATAAACATAACGTAAGCTTGCCACTTGGTCGTCCAGGTATGCTGACTGCTCTAATAAGCTACCGCAGCGACTATGTAAATAAACTTCGAATCTCACAGTACCTATTGCATAATCACCAATTTCGTCTTGTCCCTGTCCGAGAACATCCGGTAATACATTCAGCAGGAGCAGATCAAGCCTGAGCTTCATAAACTCAGGTGGGCCTACCCTCTGAAATTGTCTAGTAGCTGGTGGGCCGAATCAGTTGTGGACAAGGGATCACTTCTACTGATGAGTGGTATATTCCTGCGGTACATGCTCTCCTGTGGAGTTTCTTCTTATTGTTTCCTATGTTTTCGCTACACACAACAGTATTGATTTAACATTAGAGTTAAAAGTTTGAAGTCTAGGGCTTAAAAAAAAAAAATTCTCCTACATTTTGTATACGTATATTAAAATCTCTATCAGTATCCCAATTTTACCTACATTACTGCCCAGACAGGTGTATGAATGCACCTCACGGAGTGGGATATCGTCAAGAGAAATTAGATTACTGTTGGCGTGGCAAATTATGTTTACCTTTTTTTTTGTCGCTATGAATTTTTAAATATAATCTGCATTCGCTTTCTTTATTTCACGTGTCTAGGCGTGTATTCGTATGCTTCCTGCTGCAAAGGGGAAAGCCTCAAATGCTCGTCTATTGTGTCCGCTCCAAGTGGTCAGAATGTTGGAGACAAAGCTTCAGCGGAGTGTCCTTCAGGCAGTGTTCTCACTGGATGTAATGTTTTCTCCAAAAATGGCAGAGCTGCAGGAGCCTACATTGAAGGTACAGTTCTGATATATACTGACATTTAAAAAAAATATATTTAATTAAAATTTGATTTTTTTTTAATGAGTGTTAGAGAACAACAAATGAGATGATTTGGCCATCTGACAAAAATGCTTTGGTACAAACTGCCTCTGCAGAAATAAAATGAAAATAGAACAAGGGGAAGACCACGCGAGAGATTTGGCGATATCATAAGGAGCAGCCTAATAGAAATGGACACAAACTTGTGCAATGCATTGAAAAAGAAAGAGCACAAACGATCCTTGCGTCTTTCCCCAACACCACGCTAAAGTAAATGGTGGAAGAAAAGAAGAAGAACAAGAAGAAGAAGAAGAAAAAAAAAAGAAGAAGAAGAAGAAAAAGAAGAAGAAGAAGAAGAAGAAATAATAATAAGAAGACGAAGAAGAAGAAGAAGAAGAAGAAGAAGAAGAAGAAGAAGAAGAAGAAAGAAGAAGAAGAAGAAGAAGAAGAAGAAGAAGAAGAAGAGAAGAAGAAGAAGAAGAAGAAGAAGAAGAAGAAGAAGAAAGAAGAAGAAGAAGAAGAAGAAGAAGAAGAAGAAGAAGAAGAAGAGGAGGAGGAGAAGAAGAAGAAAAAGAAGAAGAAGAAGAAGAAGAAGAAGAAGAAGAAGAAGAAGAAGAAGAAGAAGAAGAAGAAGAAGAAGAAGAAGAAGAAGAAGAAGAAGAAGAAGAAGAAGAAGAAGAAGAAGAAAAAGATGTGTTCTATCCGGGATGCAATTCTTGGAGCCACAGGAGGTCAAATCTCCAAATAACAGTTTTAAGTGGGAGTGGGGATAAGGGAAAAAGTGGGGAGTTTTGGGGTGGGGGAGGGGGGAATATCCTACTGCCACTTACATTCCACCTATGTTTTAATTCTACTAGAATTTTACAGTTTGTATAGAAACAAATTGGTCCAGATTTATAGGACATATGAAATAAGAAACCGTTGACACTTGACTACCAGTCTCAAGATCTTGGGTTTAAATCCGAGTGTTTTCCTGTGTGCAAATGTAAAAGGCAAGAGCAGTTTTTGTAGACCTGAAAAACCGCTGAAGTCAAAGGTAATTAAAACTAGTCATATACTTAAAATATTAAGCTCTTATGACAAATTAATACTTTCCGACTGGAGCTGAAAAGCAGAGAACAACTAAAACAATTGTTAGTAAGATGCTGATAGTTATTAAATGGTGCCTGCGTTGAATAGGTCACACTTTGAGGAAACATGAGAACAATATAACTAGTATATCTTCACACTGGAGCCCACAGGGACACATAAATAAAGTCACGCCAAAACACACACACACACAAACACGCGAGCTTGCGTGCGTGTGCGCTCATGGAGGTAGGGATTAGAGAGGGATGGATGATGACAATTTTGGGAGTGTTAAATGTTTACCAAGAAATCTTTTGTCGTGTAAAAACAACAGACGTGTTGTTGATCATATCAGCTATCATGTGGCAATCAGCTATAGAATATTGGTCTAGCACAAGGGTGTGCAAACTGTGACCCGTGGACTAAAACTGGCACACAGAGTAATATTTACTAGGTTGCATAGTTGCTGTGAAAATAATATATAATCTGGACCTTAAGCTCACAACATAACAGAACATGATTTCTGCCAATAACAATCTTAAACAGACACATTTATAAATATGTAGAAAGACTTCAGTGAGTGAATGTGTCTGTCCAGAAGCTTAGCGAGGGATTATAATCAGTGTTGCCACTTTTCTTTGACAAAAACATCCAAAACGGAGTCAAACAATATCTAAAAACCTCTACATGTGCGTGAAAAACACCTTAAATAAACATCGGAATGGAAAGTTACAAATTACATAGCAATTGATAGGAATTGTCCTATAGAACCGTGTCCTATCCTTTATTGAAGTCTACTTTACAAGAACCTCAGGATAAACTTAGCTTGGATGATGAAGTTGAAGCTTCAGATCCAAAATAACTCCGGCATGCATTAGCTGTTCCTTTTTCTTTTAATACTCAGTTAGGGAGCTGATAAGTGGAACATCCTTTTCCTACTCAGGCCGAATTTTATTATCAAGATAGCATTTAAAAAGTCCAATTTCATCCTGTTTCTTAGGTTAAATTTGATAAATTCACTCAAAATGAAAAATATCTAGAAAACATCTACCATCCAAACGTCAAAAACGAAATCTAAATGCAAGGGAAATACATCTAAATCTGGATGTAATACATCCAAAGTGGCAACACTTATTATAATCTTAGATTGAGCCACAAAATTAACGCTTTATTCTTGTTATGTTTATAACCTTTTTTTTCCCTTGCCTGTAGACCAAGGTTGTCCCACCTAGAGTAGAGTTTCTCAACCTAAATTCACAAATCTTTGTTGTTGTTGTTGTTGTTGTTGGTCGAACGACCCTTTACAGGGGCTGCCAAAGACCATCGCAAAACAAGTATTTGTTGAAGTTATAAAGTTAAAAGAAAAAAAAAAATAATAATTGTATCATTTGGGGTCGCCACAACATGAGGATCTGTACTAAATGGCCGCCACATTAGGAAGGTTGAGAAGCACTGCTCTAAAGCAACATTCCCGATGTGCAAGTGACGTATAAAAAAGGGGCATTTATTTTATTTACTAAAGCGGGAGAAACAAAATGGGAAAACTTAAAATTAGATGTTTTACTTCATCAGCAATGGCACTAACTGACATCTCTACCTTTCACTGTGTTTACGCTTTTCAGAGAAAGATGGCGCTGATGTCTGCACTGCAGTAAATGGATTTATCAAATATGGAAATGAGATTGGCGTTCAGGCTGTAGCTTCATGCTGTAGTACGTAATGGAATATTTACAACACTGTTATTATGGGTTATGGTTAAATAAAGTATGCATCTGTACATGAGGATTTATATAATGTTTGCTTATTTTTGTAGTAGTTTTTGTGGTGTTTATTGAATGTGATTGTAAACTGAATATCATTTCACACTTGTTGATGCAAACTGTGTAAATGATACTTTCCCAATAAAAGTTAGTTGCATATTCTTTACAAGACGTTGCAGGACCAACCCCAGTACCCTTTGGCTGATGTGGTTTCTCTAGGCAAATCTACGTTCAGTAGTTTGCCATTGCTTTCTGGACAGTCGACTTCTGGATGCCATTGTCGAAACCAACGCAAGGCTCGAAGCCTGCAGCTGGAATTGAACCCAGCACTTCGGCATTACGTAGCGCATTCGCAACCACTAAGCCACAGGCGCCGACACTTGCCCACTACTTTACTAATTAAATCGATCGATATTCGATTCATGCCATTTTAAGATATGGGGAGTTGGGCAAACTGCAAAACAAGGCTATTTAAGAATTCCAAGTTCTTTGAGGTTCATTGCTAGGGATAACACCTGACTCCATTTACTCAGTAACTGGCCTTCTTTTGCCGGTTGATGTCCCAAGTACGAAAGAGCTTCAAATGAAAACCTTAAACATTTTAAATCAGTTACAAAAACCATGCCATTGTCTTGTAACCTGTCAGTATTGTTGTTAAGCAGGTCAAGAATGTTAATTACTAACATCACGATGCAGAAGACGGTGACGTCACATGACAGTTTTGATTAGGCTGCCCCACTTTTAACATGCACCAAAGACAAGTAGCGTTCTGTTATCCATTCTTTTTTTTTTTTTTTACATTTTTAAAGGAGTGACACCTACAGAAATGTATCGTCAATGAAAGTGCAATATCGGGACACATGTCTGGCACGTGCTTGCGTAGCACTCTTGAGGTTCTTAATAACACAAATGACAGGTTACAGGACGATTTTTATCAGCTTTCAATATTTTCTTTCAAGTCCCCTTTGTGGTGTTAGGTGTGTTTGTAAATTGTCCCTCTGACAGCTTCTTTGTATGCCTCGTGGTCTACTGTCATTCAACTGTTTTGTTCGTAACTTTTGTGTCTCTATTACCTGAAATTCTTTCGATGTCTTCCAACCATTGCAGTCTATCAGCCCTCGGGGTGCCAATAATTAATGACAATTTATTCAAAGTTTGTTGTTGCTCCTTACTCTTCATTCTTCGATGTTTGTTGCATCAAAAGATTTGCCGACAGACTGTTTTCAATAAAACTTCACCTTTTTATTTAAAGTTTTGCTCCAGGTTTCAGGTGCTTAGAAGAAGACTTGTTTTATTGGTCTGTTATTATATGTGATCTTGATGTTACGAGAGAGAGAGAGAGAAAAAGAGAAACACACAGAGAGAGAGAGAGAGAGAGAGAGAGAGAGAGAGAGAGAGAGAGAGAGAGAGAAAAGAGAAAGAGAGAGAGAGGAGAGCGCGTATGTCATGTTTGCATGTGTAGGGCATAGTTGACTTTTTCCAGACTATTCTAGATTGCCGTTCTCCGGCATGGAATATCAGAAGAAGAGAATGTGGTGTAAACTAATAATAATAATAATAATAATAATAATAATAATAATAATAATAATAATAATAATAATAATAATAATAATAATAATAATAATAATAGTCCTTATTATAAAAATAATGGCATCCGTCAGTCCCTCCGGATCCTGGAGATGTGACTCTAGCTTTTGGCACACCATATGACGTGACTGTGAAGTTTGATGAGGGAGTGGCAGTCTCTGCCATTTAGGATACACAGAAAAGTACTCCCTCGCCATGAAACTGATTTTCTCTCTGTTGTCTCATTTCTATAGCTTGCTGCCTTTTTTTGTTTCTTTTAAAATGCGACAATCTGTTTTTCACTTTATGTCGCCGCATAGTCCATCTGCAGCTAATTTTTCCTCTCTGTGCCAATGTTTGTTTTTAGAGCAATCGAACAAACTCCGCCCCCCCCCCCACCTCCTCTTAAGGTTTAGCAATTCTGCGTGCAGAATCCTCTATCATTCAGCCCTTCTAATCTCTCTCTTTTCATGCATCCCTTGATTCATACAAAGTAGTACCAACTGCAACCTTATTAATAGTTCGTCTTTGTTTTCCCTTCAATGTTGAATATCCTCTAAACACCTTCCCCCCCTCCCCCCC